GGAGAAGGGAATGGTGCACTGAGGGGGGGAGGCGCGAGGCGGAAGAAAAAGCGAGCGGAGCGGGGGGGAAGAATCGTGTGGCACGAGGGGGGGGAAAAAGAATCGAATTCGTTTCGATTTCGATTCCAAAATCGACACGATTTCAAATTCGATTTTGATTCTGAAATCGAGACGAAATCGAAGGTGATTTCGAAGTCGCAGTAGCAGGAGGAGAAGATATGGAGGAAAGAAAGGAGGAAAAAAAAAAAAAAAAATGTTGCTTACCTGGCGCGTGGCAGCAAGGATCAAGGCGGCGAGGGCGACGGAGTGCTGACGTGGCACAGCAGCGATGAAGATTTCGGCGAGGAGCGCCGAAGGGAGGTCACGGCGGCGACGATGGTCTAGGTGGCGATGATCACGGCGGCGATGAAGATCTTCAGCGGCGATGGAGGAAGCAACCAGCTCCGATACCAGTGTAACAAGCGCGAGGCTGAGGGAGACAAGGAGAGCCGAGGGAGAGGAGAGAGAGAGGGAGAGAGGGAGAGCACACACACACACTCACTCACTCAACATGAACGAGGGTCGGACGCAGACACAGTGGCAAGGACACAAAGTCGAAGTCTTGGATTACGAATGTCGAAATAGGAGCAAGTCACACTGAGTACGAGTACAACAGCTGAAAACTGGTACGAGACTCAGGTCCCCGTACTGTACGGGGCACCGGTATAAGTACCGGGTGTCCGGTACAGTATCGGGGGCAGATCTGCAAAAGCCCCGGGGGCAGAACTGAAAAGTGCGGTATTTGAAAGTGGTGCTCGAATTGCAGAATGGCGCCAGTTGTCCAAAATCCGATGGTACCAAAGGAGGGGTTTGGAAAAAGGGTGCCAGGCCGAAAACGGGAAGCAGTAGAAACAGCAAAAAGATGGACCGGGGATCGAGCCCTGGCGGAGTCCGTAACACTGGGTGTATGCGCGGCGGTACTCATCAAAAAAGGCGGGGTGGATGGTGGGAGCTGAAATAGCAGATAGCTGACGATCCTCGCACTGAAGGTCGTGGCAGCATCTGCTACGCGATTGCTCTCGCCGGAAATCTTCTTGATGGTAAAATCGAACTCGGAGAGGTCACGCCCTCAACGAGCCTGACGGGAAGTGAGCTTAGGCTTCGTCTGGAAGGCGGTGAGGACAGAGTTGTCCGTCAAAACGGTGAAAGTGTGACAGTGCAAGTGATGACGCCACTTCTTAACAGCGTAGACCAGTATAGTTACGCTCAGCGGGAAGTAGCTGTCGAGATAGATAAGCAACCGGACACTCTCCATCGCGAGACTCGACTGTACCGTCATCAGCGACGTCAGGAATATAAGGGGGTGGGGGCCCTGAGGGGGTGGGCTGGATGGGTGCAAGATGAGCCGCAGTCGCTGGAGGTGGAGGCGGGAAGCGAGGAATGCGAGGGAGGCGGGACTGTGTGGCATCGGGAGAAGTAGAGGGGGCTGGGTAGATCTGGGAGAGAACAACTCCAATAGCGAAGTCGGATGCGTCGGTGGTGACGATGAATTGACGCGAGTAGTCGGGTAAGTGTAAGATAGGAGCTGACGTGACAAGTTGCTTAAGAAAGCGGAAAGCATCCTCGTGAGCCGAGGTCCAATGAAAAGGTAGACGTCCGTGGGTCAGAGGGGTAAGGTGGGAAGAATATTGCGCGTAGTTTTTAAGAAAATGACCATAGTAGTTGGTCAACCCAAGGAAACTACGCAGCGCAGGAAGAGAGGTAGGAGTGGGTCAGTCTACAATGGCCTGAATCTTCGAGTCGTCCATGTGGAGTCTGTGCTCGGAGACCTGATGCCCGAGGAAGTCGACTTTGGGTTGAGCGAAGCTGCATTTGGAAAGCTTCGCATAGAACCCGTGGTCGCATAGTCGCTGCAGGACAGTGCGAAGGTGGGTCAAGTGATCCTCTAGGGTACGACTGTAGATCAGGATGTCGTCAATGTAGACTAGAACATAGTCCTCAAGAAGGTCTTGGAACATCGTGTTCATAGCCGTCTGGAAAGTAGCGGGGGCATTACGGAGACCGAAAGGCATGACGGTAAACTCGTAGTGCCCGAAACGAGAACGAAAAGCGGTCTTGGGCTGGTACTCCTCGGCTACACGGATCTGGTGATATCCGCTACGAAGATCGATCTTCGTGAAGAAATGGTGGTCGGAGAGGCAGTCAAACAGGTCATCCGCACGAGGCATGGGATAACTATTTTTGACCGTGTAGTGGTTCAGACCGCGGTAATCAATACAAAGACGAAGGGTGTCGTCCTTCTTGCGATCGAAGAGGACCGGGGCACTCCATGGGTAATTTCTTGGTTTAATGAAGCCCTGGCGAGGCAGCTCCTCAAGTTGGCGCTTGAGTTCCTGGGCTTCGGAAACCGAAAGGCGATAAAGGGCGCGATTCGGAATGCGATAGTTGGGCTCGAGCTGGATGTGGTGCTCGATACCACGCATGGGAGGAATGTTGCTGTAGGAGACGGATGGTGGGAAAACATCGTGATACTCACGAAGGAGGGCAGCAACGCTAGGCGGCAAGGAAGAAAGAAGGGTGTCAAATTCCTTGGCAGCGGCAGCATCTGAAGCAGAGGTGGAGGGGGTCTGAATGGGGATAGAGGGTGTATCAGTGGTAAGGGAAGCGAGAAAGTGAAGTGGGCTAGCAGGGGTAGAGGAGGTTAAGGAAGCTGAGGAATCAGGAGGGTCGGGGGGCTCGGGAGGTGGTGGAACGAGCTCGACCAACTCAATGTCCTGATGCATGGAGCTGCAGGTGAGGAGATCCGTGATGTCGACAACATAAAGTTCTACATCAGGCTCACGAAGGAGGTGGTGGAACTGGGTAGGTGTACAGATGGTGACATTAACAGGGGGGGGAAGTGTAGAGTCCGATTTGCCCAACAACGGAATACGGTATTGTTTCCCGTCCTTGGCGTCGAGGACAAGATCGTTGGGGGTCCAATCGAGGCCGACATGAGCGAACTGATGGGAATAGGCAGTGCCAAGAACGAGATCATATAGGGTTTCCATGACATCGAAGGTCCACTTGTCATGGAACCGAGGGGCCTTGCGAAGGCTGTGGGGCATCCGCAGGGGGAAGGAGAATGGAAGATCAGGCACCACCGAATCGACGAAGGATTTGGCCTGGTTGTTGCCCAGCGTGACAATGACAGTGGAAGGGTAGGCGGATGTATAGAGAGATGTCTCCTTAACTACGCGAGGATGAATGAAGTCGCCAGTAGAGCCAGAGTCCCATATAGTGC